TTCAGGATGTTTCAAACTGTTGTATTGGCCATTCCCAATGTTTTTGCTATCTCTCTAATGGGTTTATTTTGTTTTCTCAGCCTAATGATGGCCTCCTTCACTCGCATGGACACCTCTTTGGACCTCATGTTGAGTGTTCCAGTGAACAGCTCCAAATAAAAAAGTAACACTCAGAACCACCTCCAGGCCTTTGATCTGCTTAATAGGTCATGGGTACCCAGGAAACAGGCCACACCTGGCCATGCACCTGCTTGTCAGTCATTCATTCCATTACTTATGAGCCACCAACAATGGGTGTGTGTGTATGCCACTGGCTATACCTCCTGAATGGTTAGTGCCCCACTTTTGTCAAACCCCTTGAATTACAGCTGAAAGTCCTGACTTCGCTCCCATCTAGGTGTGTTTCCTTTCAACTTCAACGTGGTGGTGTACAGAGGCCAAATGCTAAAAGAGTTATCCTTGATCCATTATTTTTGGTCCTGTGTTTGAAATATACACACACATCTAGAGAGTTTTATACATACATACATACATATTTACGTGTGTGTGTGTGTGCATTTTTTTAATGCTCAAATGTTTAGCTATGCAATTTATTCCAAATAGATTCAGAATAAGTTTTGTTTTTAAACTTAGGTTGCATGTAACTGAGCAATCAGATGCTCATACAAACTTGTTATTCCATTAAGCACTGGTACTTCCTTCTATGGGTGCAAGCTGGCTTATTTGTTGTAATATGCAACATATATATATATTGAAACATGTTGTTAAAAGTGGGAATTTGTATAACTGAGTCTACATGCTGAACAGAAGAGCTGCATCCTGACAACTTGAAAAAACAAGATATTTATCACTTTAAGAATTAAATTACATATTAAATTTTAGATCTGAGTAATAGGACACTTGGTTTTATTCAGGATGCAGCTCTGTCTGTTCGGCATGTAGACTCAGTTATACAAATTCCCACTTTCAACAACATGTTTCAAAATATATATATATATATGTTGCATATCACAACAAATAAGCCAACTTGCACCCATAGAAGGAAGTACCAGTGCTTAATGGAATAACAAGTTTGTATGAGCATCTGATTGCTTAGTTAATTAATGGAATTCCTATGTACAGATGCTGACTCTGCAAATTGGACTTTTTTCCCCAAGAGTTTTGCTGATGGAGTGCTAACTTACCAGTGCTGGATAGGAAGGATAGCCACTACATTTGGCCCACACAACTTTTAGAGGTTCAAGGACAGAATTGGAAGCATCAGTTGAAATCCACATGCTATTGTGTCCAACTTCTAAAATGAAGAAAGTTATTTTAGAAAATAATTCATTGTGATCCATAGGCTTAAGCTGATGGAAAGGAAAATTCAAGGTGTTTTTTTGAGAACATAAGCATGAAGAAACTGATAAACAACTTTAATCAACAACATCTTCCCTTACTCTATCTGGCCTAAGATCTGGCATGATCAAAAATCAGTCTAAACCATTTGGTTTAGTAGAAGTCTTAAAACAAATATTCGTATGCAGAAAGGCTGTATATTAATAATGCAATATTTGATAGAGAGAACAATCACAGAAAGATCATTTGCTGACAGAAATCTGCCAGCCATACTATGAAGCATGAAAATATATGTTGATACTCACTGGACTGGATTCAAATTCTAGCATATGCCAATCATGTATTTATTTGCAATGATTTATATGTTGCCTCCTATGACTATATATGGCCCTCAATAAAATAAAAATAATAAGCAACCATAAATATACAGATTCAAATCAACAAAATAAAATGCAAGAGGGCTGCCACTGAGAAGGCTTGCTTTCCAGCTCCCTTCATCTTGACTTTTCAAAGGAAGGATTCTTGGCCTGCCCTCTATGCCCACTTTTCCTAGGTCACATAGTCCCAAAAGTATCAAGGCCCCAAGGTAGATAGAGCTTTATGGGTGATAACCAAAACTGGATCTGGAAGCCTTCAGTAACCACTGCAGTTCCCACAAAACTGCTGTTACTCTGCTGTAATGGTATTAACCATCTGCATTCTGGACCAGCTGAAGCTTTTGAATTGTCTTTAAGAGCACCTTTATGTAAAGCAGATTACAGTAATTCAAGCATGAAGTCAGAAGGCATGAGTTACTATTGTCAGAGTCTCCTGATCCAGAAAAGGCCACAAGTGGCACACCAGCTAAAGCTGGGCAAAAGTCTTTCTGGCCATGGGGTCCACTTGAGGCACCACACAATGAAGTACCCAAGAGCTCAATATCACCTTCTTTACTAATATCAACTAGAAATGTCCACTTAGGATGAACCACTGCAACACAGTACCAATTTCCAACCCTTGCAGGTGATTCCAAAGGATATTATGGTCAAATGCAACTAAAAGATCAAGCAGGACACAGAAGGGCATATTAAACCATATCT